ACCAGAAACGCCCTTCACTCGTCAATCGGAAAGGTGTTTTTCTTCTCCACGTCAATGCTCGTCCACATGTGGCACGTTTGACGCAACACAAGATTATGGAGTTCGATTGGGAAGTTCTCCCCCACCCACCATATTCTCCAGATATGGCACCATCAGATTACGATCTTTTTCGTTCGCTGCAATACCATCTTAATGGGAAGACGTATGCAAATGTGAAAGGTGTTAAAGAGGACATCGACATGTTTTTTTGCTTCAAAGCCAAGTGATTTCTTTAATCTGGGCATTAACTACCTGATTGTAAGATGGATAAGCATCATCGATAACAATGGAGACTATTTTATTTAATAAATATTTTGTTTTGATATATCAGTTGTTCGGGTTTTTTCATTTAAAAAAAAGCGACATTAATTTCTTGACGACCTAATATAATGGAAACTACATAAGAGACGATTGTCCATATAAGGACATGAAAACGCTGTAATAAACACAGGAGTTGATGAAATGCATTCCAAGTTGTGATATAAGGAGTCGAAATCAACGACATAAAACATGTGCGATCGTAGCAGAAAGAAAAGTAATGAATGTTTATGTTATCGGCACCAAACGAAAGGAAGTGAGCCGTATAAAGAATGATTGGAGAAACTTGGTTATGGTTTTGGTTTGATAAAACGTTACAATTATACCAGTCGAATGAGGTATCTACTTGCATCTTAGCCACGCAGTGCTTATTGAAGAATCGGACGAACACATGAAAATATGTATAAAACGTTATGTTTTTGACTCAAAAATGAGTTCTCCATCGCTGATCCAGACTTTTACAAGGACCCCTGTCTCTCGAGTTCCTGATTTCACTGATGACTCACTATGGCTGTAATACAGAGCATGGAAATCGTTCTTCAAACCAACTTCTTTTAAGTATCCGATGCTACCCTCTCTAGCATAACAAAGTATTAACGTTTGATGTATAATGTGTAAGAATAAGATAATGTTAAAAGATAATTCACTCATAGAATTAGTAAAATATAGTAAAAAAGTAATATCATTGTTAAGATATGTTTGAGACGAAGTTTTAGTTAAATTGTTTCAACTTAACTATGTCTCAGTGTATTTCGCGTATTACTTTAGCTTATAACTTGTTTTCTATGGTGTCTAATTTAATGAGTCTTGTTGAGCGTTTAATCAAAAAACAGTTGCTCGCTCAGATCGAAGAATTTGACGCTTTTGATTTAGAAGTTTTCTAAGATAACTTTAGTGTTGTAGATGTGAATGAATATACGAATATTTTTATTTAAAGTTGTGTACGTTATTTGTCTCTGAGTCAATTCTTTATTACAATCAGTTTACACTTCCTTGAGTTAGTAGCTTGTGTACTTAACCCGTGATTGCATAACCTGGATTTAAATAAATACATTTGTAACTGACGATAAAGTCGAACCCTAAACGACTAGCCCATCGGCCTCCTGTTACAGGAAAACATACTGGAACAATAGTCCAATTTACTGGAAATATGATACTTACGTTGAAAAAAAAAGAACCCCGTCTTGGTAACAATGAAAATAAGCAGAAATTCATATCATTGCTCAGTGACAGACTACAAGACAGTGGATAATAAACGCATCATGCGAGAGAAGAAGTAGAATTGTTGGTTATCCAAACATGAGTTGCACCATTGTAAACAACTGATATTGTTCTTATTGGAGAGGGCATATATCTTCTTCTCCTTCTTTTATCTTATAATGCCTTGATGCTCACAAGATCTACTTCAGAACAGAATCAAAATAAAATGTGAGGAAAAAGTTAAAGAATTTGGAACATAGGATTAGAAAGCTATGGTATTTTTTGGTGTATTTTCGACAAATGACCAAATTATTGAAGCTCGTGTAAAGGCATCAGAACATTTAAACAAGGGAAGGTCAAATGATGACTTTCATTTTATGTGTCATAATATTATTTTGCAATTAAGCAAATCATATGTCAAAGTAAATGTTTTGGCCTTAAAATCTGCAGATGCTAATTATCAAAATCTTCATGTGCATTATTAAATCAGGCAATGGATGAAGTCAAATGAAAATATGGTATCCAGAAATGGGGATGGATTGTTTGTGGTGACCAAATGATTGCTAAACATTCCAATGAGCCACCTGCACCAGACTCGCTGTTCAATATAATTAAACGTTGCTGCAAAGTATATTGTTCACATCTAAAATGTAGTCGCATGAATTAGTATTCACCAGATGATGAGTAGCCAATGAGACAACATGTGAATGTCTGTCTGCATTATTATCTACTATTGTAATGGTCTGAAATGAACACGTCACTACAATGAGGGTCAAAAACAAAAAATAATTTATTTGCAATATCAACACTTAGAAATAATCTGAAGCCAGTTTTGCGATTTACAAAGTTCTTTCTACATTTCTCCACTACATTAAAACCAACCATTGCAATAAAATGGCAATGTGACACCCCTTGAACTTTTTATGATATAATAAACCATACTAAGAAACACAAAAACTCCAAAGTTTTATCACGAGGCACGTTAGTGCTTAACATGTAGGAATGGGCCGAGAAGAAAATGGCCGCCACATTCAGTCTGCTATTCAATAATGCTCAGAAATAACTGCTAAATTTGAGATATATCGTTGTTTGAGTACCTAATTGTCATTATCGAGTCTTTCACAGTTTCTATAACAGTAATATTGTTCTGTTCTACTACCACATGGATTTTTGTAGGAATAAAGAAAGTAAAAATACTACTTAGCAGTGAGTTCAGTTTATAATCATATCTTATTTCCATGTTTCACAAATAATAGTTTCATTTCTAGTCGCTAGATGGCAGCACAAATTGTTCTTATATAACGACAGTTTGTGACTTTTCATTGCACAAACATGATATCTGCTAAAACAATTTCAGTGAAAAGAAAGAATAATCTCAATTAATATTCAAGGTATCAAGGAGATCAAGTATTTGTACAACTGACAGATCTGTGTATATGTTTTTGATATCTGAGTTTAAAAACACCAGTTTCTTAATTAACAAAATATTACATTATATAACAGTTTTCTTCAAATTTTCAGTGGGGTCGAGCTTGTCAGCTGTGTGTGTATTCACGGTATCATACTTCATGGCCTAGAATCTGTATAACTTCCACCCTATTAATCGACATGACCCTAGCGTGTAGTGGAGTCAGTTATAAGCACATAAAGTGAGTTGGGTGAAGTTGGAAGGCGTGGGTTCTGTAAATATCCCATTAACGTTGGTCCAGCGCTCTGGAGTACTTGTATCATCCTGGAGGAACCATCCCAGCTTCACTGACCCCTAATGTAATCCAAAATTATATTATATTGTATTATATTAACAATGTATATTACCATTGAATTATAAAAATATAATAAGTGTTCACTTATCATTCTACTTCAATGAAATCGTTTAAAAAACAGGAGAAACAAGTAATAAGAAAATTTGCAAAAATTAAGCATGATGTATGGATGGCAATGCAAAAAAAAGTACAGAAACAAGGTACGGATGAATACACAACACCATGCAAAAATCCCTACATAAGTAACCAGTGAGTACTGAGTCAATCTAAGATGGTTATAGTTATTAACTATTGTAGTACTGTATAGCATTATTCAGTTGAAATGCTTTTATTCAAAGCTGAATTTATGCAACTTACAGAAATTCAACATTTAGTTGTAGATAAAAGTTATTTTTTGAAAGATTAGGCTACTTATTTGGGGTATTTGTATAGTTTTGTCTATTCATACTTACCTTGTTTCTTTACTTTTTGGCATTACCATCCATACATCATACTTAAATTTTGCAATTTTTTTATTACTTGTGTTATAATAGACCATATTAGAAAACACCATACCCCAAAAGTTTTATGGTACAATAAACCGTACTAAGAAACAGAATCTCCCAAAATTTATATTTGTTTGTTGTTTGCGGGAAAACATATAAAAGATAAAAATCTCCAGTTTTCCACTTCTGTTTTATTTCAGTAAAAGACAATTATCAATAACACTAATATTACATATAGAAGTTCTAATTTTATTTTATATGTAAAAGATCAAGCCAAACAAATATTAAGACTGCTTTGTTGGCTCGAAATTAACCAAGGATTGAAAATTGGATTCTTTTCCCAAAGTTTTCGTTTTTTTAAAAAAAAACATAACATTTGTTAACAAAGACCAACTGTTCCTCGTGAAAAAAAGTCAGTTTCAACTAAGAAATAAATATTACCTTTTTCCCATTTTTATCCAGGAAAATGAAATGTTACTTCAAAAAAGGTATATTTTACACCTAGAAGTTTTCTATTTTCAAGAGAATGTAATTTAAAATCGAATGCACAGTATTTCATTTATATTGCAATATTCCATTACGAGGAACCCACTTTGAGACTAATATTGGTTGGAGACTGCTTGAATGGGTAATGAAGAAAAACTTTAATATAAGTTTAACATAACAGCAAATGTATAACGTTTCGACAAGGTTTTGTTATCATCAGGTACAAGATTATGCGAGAGCACGTTTTAAGACACACAAAACTGGGTATTATTATTATAATAGATTTTAGTATTTTAGGTGCCGCACTGTTTTTCACTTTTTATTTGTCATATCTTAAGTTTTTCTTACGGACCCAACATGAGATTTGCACTGTTTAGTTATGTAGGTTCCTTTTAATTCTCAGTGCACTATACCACTGTTTGGAAATTGTGTTGATATATATTTTTAGCATAAGTAAACAATTATGTTAACATAATTTCCTGACACCCTCTATACTTTTAGGAAATATTGTTAATATGGAAACCTGGTGTTTTTTCGTGTGTTTTAAGTTAATTTTAATTGTCCAGCATGAAATTTGCTCACTCTTTCTGTATACAGGTCATCTTATATCCTTTTAACTACTCTCATTTCTATTCTTATGTCAAAGAAAAAACAACAAAAACTTGTTCATCAGATAGCTTATAAATGTTCACAAAATTTTGTTATCAAAATCAATAAGCAACCAAGAAAATGTCTTGTATTCCATCTTAATTGTTTTTATCATTTTGTTTGTTTTTGTTTAAGATCAACGCTTTACCATTATTTTGGCAAATGTTTCGTTTGGGTGACATCATATACGTGAGAAATTGTTAGCGTTGTGAATTATTTAAAACAAACATACTTTCTAATTGGTATTGTTATATTGAATATAACCACATATAAAATAATCACAACTTGCTTAGGCTTAATCTGACAATGAATCCGTTTAATTTCATAACAACGAGAAAACAACATATTTAAGTAAAAATTAGTAGAACATTATAAAAAGGTATTACTATTCTTCAACATTCATTAAAATGGAAATTCGTTTCTAGATAATACAAAATATACTTTTGTAAATGCGCTGGTACACAATTTCATTTTTCTTTCAGTTATTTTTTAACTGTAGTTTTGGATATTGTTTACAAACAGTTAATATACAGTTTATTTTGTTCACTAACCAATAACTTCATTTCGAAAAGACAACTAAAAACAATATTCGGGGAATGGGAAAATATATTTTATATATCGAGTTGATCACTTCCTTCTGTCCGGTTATGCCACGCATTTCTGAAAAGTATGGAAAAAACACAATAAGGTTAAATTTCAGTGTTATTGATTTTTCTAATCACATAATAAACAATGTTTCATAGAAAACTAAAAATATGGATGAGATAAACAAAATACAACATTTTCGTGAAAGTAAAAAAAAGGTAAGTTGCCACTTGTTGTTCATATTTTTCTAATAATATAAACAAAATGGGTGACAAACTTCAAGCAAAAATTCTAAGTACATGTTCTCCATATTTATCATTTCTATAACTTTACGCTGTGAAAAAGTTGCTATATCTTTTCGATGTTCGAAAACCGAAAATTAAACAGCTTATGACAGACTAAACTCTTTATACGAATAGAATTACAAAAACTGCCATGAACGCGCACTAGGATTGAATACCAGGCTTAGATCAATATGTATGGATGAGCAAATAGGCTGGTTGGATTTGTGAGATAATTTTAATGGGAAAGTTAATATTTTTGGAATGGACGGCTTACACTTAAACAAGGTAGGGGATAGCATGTTAGCAAGGGTTGTTAACTCAGCTGTAGTGGTAGATTTAAACTAGGGCTAGACAAAGGTGAGGGCTATGATACTAGTAAAATAGGAAATATAATTGACAGGAAAACATGCACAACTGGCATAAAACAAGAACATGTTTTAAATTAATTGTTACTATTGTAATGCTAGGAGTATTAGAAATAAAATTGATGAGTTCAAAGAAGTTGTGGAAACTGAGGATTTTGATATTATGGGTATCACTGAGACTTGGTTGGATTTGAATATTTCTGATGAGAGAATGTTTTTGAAGAACCAGGCTACAGATTATTTACTAGTGATAGAGTATTGAAAAAAGGGGGAGGAATAGCTTTATATGTGAGGAGTGAATTGTATCCTGTTGAGTAAGAGAATATTAAAGAAAATAGCACTGAGATTGAGTCAGTTTGGGTTAGTGTTAGTGGATATAAAAGGAAAAGTCTTGTAATTGTTATAGACCACCAGGTTAGAATGTGGAAGTTAATGAAAAACTGTATAATGAGATCAGATGGTAGCTGAAACAAATGTTGTTAATATGGGAGATTTTAACTTCAGGGGTATTGATTTGGAAAACTTTGAGTCCGACAGTGAAGGGGGGATAGGTTTGTGGAAATTGTTCAGGATACTTTTATACACAAACTGGTGATGGAACCTACAAGAGAGGAAGCGATATTAGATTTAATGTTAGCATCCAATGTGAATACGATAGACAGAGTTATGGTTTGGGAGCATTTAAGTACAAGCAACCATTGCATTATTAGGTGTGGGATTTTATTACATGTAGAAGTGAAGAAGAATACTACACTAATTCCAAATTTCATGAAAGCCAATTTTGATGGAATGAGACATGATCTGGCTTCTGTAGATTGGACTACAGAGTTAAGAGGGGATCTTGAACAGATGTAGGAAGCATTTAGAGAAAAATTGATATGCATACAAAACATACATATTCCCTACAGAAAAAAAAGGGGGCAACGGAGCTGAATAAGCCAGTATGGTTTAGTAAAGGTTTAATAGATCATATTAGGAATAAACATAATAAAGTCAAGAAATTTAAATTTCCTGGAAATAATAATGAGTTGGAGGACTATAGGAAATCAAGAGAGCTGGTTAAAAAGGAAGTTAAAAGGGCAAAAACTGTATATTAAAGAGTGTTGGACAAGAGAGTTAAATCAAACAATAAGGAATTCTTTTGGTATATGATGGGTAAGCAAAATGTTAGGATGGGGATTAGGCCTCTTAAAAATGATAGTGGGGAGCTGATCTCGGAAGATTACGAGATGGTAAACTTATTAAATTATATGTTTTTACAAAGGAAGATACAAAGTATCATGCCTCAACCAGAGCACTTAATGTGTGGGGAAAATATTGATGTAAAATATATTAGCTATTTAGTGTATCCATACGTTTGTATTTTTAGGTTCAGTTATTAAATACTTAGTGTATTCATAGGTCTGTATTTTTAGGTTCAGTTATTAACTATTTAGTGTATCCATAGGTCTGTATTTTTAGGTTCAGTTATTAACTATTTAATGTATCCATAGGTCTGTATTTTTAGGTTCAGTTATTAACTATTTAGTGTATCCATAGGTCTGTATTTTTAGGTTCGGTTATTAACTATTTAGTGTATCCATACGTCTGTATTTTTAGGTTCAGTTATTAACTATTTAGTGTATCCATACGTCTGTATTTTTAGGTTCAGTTATTAAATACTTAGTGTATCCATAGATCTGTAATTTTAGGTTCAGTTATTAACTATTTAATGTATTCATAAGACTGTATTTTTAGGTTCGTTATTAAATTATGAGGCTAAAAATTGTTCTCAGTGTACAAGTACGTATGGTAGTAACTCAAAATACCTTCCTATTGTAATATGTACTGTATAGTACACGTTGTTGTTGTTTTTTCAGCAAAATAGCGTATACAAGCAGTGGGTGATTATACAGTTTAGCATTCTGTTTGTTACGTAGCAAGACTGTATTCAATACAAAGATGAAATCATGATATAAAACTTGCTGTCACCTAATTAATAAACGCATACCTCAAGGAATGTGCTTGTTTGTCCTGCTTGAGTCCTTAAAACTCCACTTCTAACACAGTCCACCCACTAGAACAAATAGAGTGATAAATCTCAAATTTACAATCCTACCACTTTACTGGATATAGTTAATCGTCTGAGTAAAATCAGAGTTAAAACTTGACTTTAATATTTAAATTTTAATATAACTCTTCTATTAAAATGAAACCAAGCAACATGATAAAATTAGTTTATTTTCTGTTATAACAAAAAAATCTCTTAAAATGGACAAAAGTAGTAATTTAAAAGCGCATAAAAGTAGCAAGACATACAAAATTCCATACATTATTAACCCTAGAAATAAACGACCTTATAACTCCAAAATATTGTTTTTCTTTTATTAAACACTCAACGTTTCGCTTTACAGCTTCTTCAGGAGTTCACTAAAACACAAACCGAAACCGACAGTACAAAGCTTTGATAAAAATAACACCTTGGTGTTATAATGTCGTTTATTTCTAGTATTAATATGTCTTCTATACACCAATGTGCACTACAGATATTAAATAATGAATTTACATACATTATTGTTCTAAAATATTGTTAGTATTATTGACGAACCTGAAATTTCTGCTGCGGGGTGTTTTTTTAAACATAAGAGTCTTAAACGTTAGTGTTTTTTTTTCTGTGCTACCATGTGATCTGTAATGGTTACAGTGGAATAAGGTATCTTATAAAATTACTTTGACGGTTATATACAGGCCCGTGCAGAGCTGGTAATAGGCCCAGGCCAGATGGGAAATGTAGGCCCCATTTCAAACTGATCATTAAGTATTTTTTGTAAATACAGTGCTAAATACACATGATTTATGTATGGGTATATACATGTACATGGAGTGTACATGATGTACTTACAAGTAACAGAAACGAATAAAAGAACTAGAACGATTTATAAAAAAGGTAATGGCAAGCAATTTTATTCAAAATGTATATAAGGCAATAGAGTAACAGTACTGTAATAAGAAGGAGTAAATACAATAGTACATTCATGTTTATTCTGTATTCGGAAGTAGGCCACATCAAAATCGTAGGCTCATGCCAACTGTTCTGGCCTGGTTATATAAAATTGTATTTACTTCTTTACTCGCCAGTGTCTATTTTTGAAGAGTAATATGTCCTAACTTAAACCAACACTTTAAGTCTTCACTAAACATTTTAATAGTAATTACTAATTTTCACAATGAGTTTTTTTTTTCAGAATTTAATTCACTCCAGTATAGCAACATTTTCAAAAGAACAGCAAATGATTCTGAAAAAAAATGCAATTTTTGCCCTTTATAATTTCATATTCCTATCGTGTTGTCCATAGTCGTAGCTATTAATTGTTTCTAGACTGAACTATTTCATTGCTACAATTCATTAATTATGTCATGTTTTATGACAAAGTAACGAACCATGTGTTGGTTAAGTAAGCTAAATTAATATTATGTCATTTTTCTTATGAGCCCCTGGTGGCGACTTTATAACTAATAGTTTCCAGTATTAGTTTGTTTTAGAGCAAAGCCACATGTGGGCACAAAATAATCAATCAGCCTGACAAATATCATTTTAATTACTATGCGAATACAAAAAAGTTGATATCTAATATTTGAAGTTAATGTGACTTATGACAGCGGTTTCAGTTTAGTTGCAACTTAAAACAAAATATAAAAACCTCCTAAATGTTAGAAGAGAATAGGTTTCAGTAAGCCTATGTTTAGAATGCTCCCATGAGCTTATTACAGTTATTTGCAATTAAAACCAAAATAACGGGAGTTTTCGCTACGCTGTCTTTCCAGTACATTATATACAGCATAAATATATCCTATCTTTGATCTGTCTGTTATTTTTTTATTCCTATCTGTAAGATTATGTAGATTTCAATATCTTAAATAGCATCAGATATACTTAAGACAACGTAACAAGACTACTAAGTCGTGAAATGTGAGGGTCCTTCCTCGAAATATTGGTGAAATATCGCTTTTTGTGCTAGTCAGAATGTATTAATTGTTTAAATCTATCCAACTAGCAATAGCTAGGCGCTTAACCCTTTAATTCTGTTAGAAAGGACATTCATGTTCGTCATCTTTATGGGGAACCCTAAGAGGTGCTAGTAACTAAATCACTCGAGATTTTATAACTGTTACTTCTAATTTTAATACAAACCAAAGTGTAATGTGAAGTAGATACAGTTACAGTCGCCCTGCACCTAACGGCTATACTAATACTTTTACTCGAGTGTATGCCAAAAAACTTTGATAAGTGTTAGTTGTACGAGAAACATGTCTGGTGTTATAACTTCAAGAAAGGAATATTACATGTACGCGTGAAAATTGCACAACACAAATATTAATATACAATCATAAAAATTAATGAATATGAAGACTCATCTCTTATTCGATTCACACTTGCCACTGAGTTATACTGGTTTCGAGGAATTTCATCCTTTTCATCAGTAACCTCGAAGAATAATAAATCGAAATAACAAGACTAGGATTATTATAGAGGTGGAGCGTATATTATATGTAAGGTGTTTTGAGTTGGTTTTTAAACCTCACAGTAAACCTGCATATTCTAAAAATCCTATATAAATATATGTTCATCCTGATGAGTAAAGTACAACTCCAAACACCATATATGTAATACAAAATTGGCTAAAATATAAAAGAATACCTTGTTGATGAACTGATTGTGATCGTCATCTGAAGAGCATAATGTTTCTTTAAGCTCCTCATCCGCCAGTCCACTGCACGACAGTAAAATGGTCTGCACCTGCGATTTGATGAATAATTAAATTAATATGAATTCAGAAATATTATTAAGGGTTTCTTGAGAACAGTTTGTTGTTAAGGATTCCTTGAGAACGGTTTATTATTAAGAGTTTCTTGAGAACAGTTTGTTATTGAGAGTTTCTTGAGAACAGTTTGTTATTAAGGGTTTCTTGAGAACGGTTTATTATTAAAGGTTTCTTGAGAACGGTTTATTATTAAGGGTTTCTTGAGAACGGTTTATTATTAAAGGTTTCTTGAGAACAGTTTATTAATTGTTTTTGAGAACAGTTTATTATTAAGGGTTTTTTGAGAACAGTTTGTTATTAAGGGTTTCTTGAGAACAGTTTGTTATTAAGGGTTTCTTGAGAAGAATTTGTTAGTAAGGGTTTCTTAAGAAGAGGTTTTATTAAGGGTTTCTTGAGAACAGTTTTTATTAAGGGTTCCTTGAAAACAGTTTATTATTAAGGGTTTCTTGAGAACAGTTTATTATTAATTGTTTTTTGAGAACAATTTGCAATTAAGGGTTTCTTGAGAACAATTTGCAATTAAGGGTTTCTTGAGAACGGTTTGTTATTAATTGTTTTTTGGAAACGGTTTGTTATTAATTGTTTTTTGGGAACGGTTTGTTATTAATTGTTAATTAATTGTTATTAACTGCTATTGTAATCAAATAAGTCTTTTTTTAAATAAATATAAACCTTTTTGTCACTCACTATATGTATAGCTACTAACCTTTTCAACGTTTGATATCCGATTGCCACAACTTTATCGTAAGTACTTAAGAACATATACCTAACTACGTAATTAGATTAAAGAGGTGTTAATAATCAACATGTAGTGTTTGGAGAATCCAAAATGGTTAACTAAAGCAAAAACAACCATCGTAACCGTTAACAACCTTCTGTTGCATTGGGAAACTGTTAATAAAGATCTTTGGTATTTTTTACGAAACAGATTAATAAGTACAATTTTAACTCTCTGGCATTTTGGTGTTTTCTTTGCACAAAAACAAAACACTCGGAATTAACAACGCTTAAAGCGTTAAATTAACATCATGGACAAGTGTTTACGATATTCAAACAATTGACATACATCGCTTTTTCATGCCAAAATAAAACTACTATTCGAGGATTTAGAAGCTCCTAATCTACAGTGCACAATCATCAGGTGTTAACTCAGTTGGGAAACGTATACAAAATGTATTCGTATAACAGCTGGTTCATAATCACCAGGTGTTAACTCAGTTGGGAAACGTATACAAAATGTATTCGTATAACAGCTGGTTCATAATCATCAGGTGTTAACTCAGTTGGGTGATGTATACAAAATGATTGGTATAACAGCTTTCTCACAATCATCAGGTGTTAACTCAGTTGGGAAACGTATACAAAATGTATTCGTATAACAGCTGGTTCATAATAATCAGGTGTTAACTCAGTTAGGAAACGTATACAAAATGTATTGGTATAACAACTTTTTTACAATCATCAGGTGTTAACTCAGTTGGGTGATGTATAAAAAATGATTGGTATAACAGCTTTTTCACCATCATCAGGTGTTAACTCAGTTGGGTGATGTATACAAAATGATTGGTATAACAGCTGGTTCATAATAATCAGGTGTTAACTCAGATGGGTGGTGTATACAAAATGATTGGTATAACAGCTGGTTCATAATAATCAGGTGTTAACTCAGATGGGTGGTGTATACAAAATGATTGGTGTAACAGCTGGTTCATAATAATCAGGTGTTAACTCAGTTGGGTAATGTATACAAAATGATTGGTATAACAGCTGGTTCATAATAATCAGGTGTTAACTCAGTTGGGTAATGTATACAAAATGATTGGTATAACAGCTGGCTCATAATCTGAGTTAACTCAGTTAGGAAATGTATACATTGGTGTAACATATAGTTCATATAAATACACATATCATATGTATAAATACAAATAGATAATAATAAAAAGTGAAATTCTCGTCAAAATACTAAATTAATTATCAATTTTAAAGGGATAAAAAACATTGAAATATCAACAAATCTGAATTTTCACCTTGAGTTGACCTGGCATGGCCTTGTGGTTATAGCACTCAACTCGCAATCTGAGGGTCGCGGATTTAAATCCCATCCTCAAACATGCTTACCCTTTCAACCGTGGGGACGTTATAATGTGACAGTAAATCCCACTATTTATTTGTAAAAATTAACTCAAGAGTTGGCGGTGGGTGGTGGCTTCCCTCTAATCTATCACTTCATAATTAGGGACGGTCAGCGCAGAAAACCCTCGAGTAGCTTTGTGCGAAATTCAAAACAAACAAACATTCGCCGCAAAAGCTACCAAAAACAAGCACCAGGAGAAGACGGCATACATGCTATCCTCCTCAAAAAAGCCACTCGCAGACTGTATGGACACCTCACAGCACTTTCAATTTATCACTAAGTTCTGGATACATCCCGGTTTCTTGGAAGCAAGCGATTGTGCTAATGTTCCATAAAGAAGGAAAACCAGCAAATAAACCAAACAACTACCGTCCGATTAGCCTGATCAGCTGTGTTGGGAAATTCTCGAACGAATAATAAGCAATAGACTTTCAAATTACCCAGAAGTCCCCTCAAAATTACCAGAAATCCAAAATGGTTTCAGAAAATTCAGACAGACAACAGATCACTTAGTTAGATTAACAGAAACATTTATAGATAGCTTTAATAAAAAGTAATGCATTGTCGCCTGCTTTCTCGATGTCGAGAAACCTTTCGACACTGTATGACACAATGGTCTTAGGTTCCGCATGACGGAAATGGAACTACCGCGGGTGATTATTCGCTGGCTATCTAACTTCTTGGAAGATTGAACATGTAAAATAAATGTAAGGGGAGCCTACTCTGAGGCATTTACCCCAGAGGCAGGCGTACCCCAAGGAGGGGAATTTAGTCCTATTCTATTCATCATGTATGTGAGCAATATGCCTTTAAAAGACCCAAATCATGGGTTTGCA